GCAAAATGTGCTCGTGTGTACCTGTGGGTGAGATTCTAGCCCAGGTGGAGTAGTAACGGGGACACAGAGGCATCAGAGAGGGGGCCAGCGGCAGCGAGATCCCGGAAGTGACCCTGCACGGAGACAGAACGTCCCAGAACGTGGCAGGAGGAAGGGTGTTCATGGCCTGAGGAGGACATTTGTTCTCTCTGCACAGGTCACTTCTCAAACCCTCCTTCCTAAAGTGGGCCCGAGGGTCACTGTTTGGCACGTGATTCATCTGTTGATTTTTCAGTTGCTTAGGAGCAAAGCAGGTCCTGGGAAGGAGGTTGTTGTGAAAAGTGCTGTAACAAGCAGAGTGGGGCTGGGACAGAGACCTGCCTGGGTGGGACAGGTTACAGGGTGGGTAGTGGAGCAGGCCCCGGCAGCGCCCCCTACTGGGCTGGCCAGCACGGCCAAGCGGCTCCTAGGCCTCCACGGGACGCTGCTCCGAGGGCGTGTGTCACAAGCTGCTAAACGGTTTTCAACACAGGGATCTGGAGGCCAGCTCTGGCTCTTACCAGCTGTGAAATCTTGGGAGAGTTCCTTATCATCCTGCCTCTGATTCCTTGTTTGTTACAGACAGGGAGGAGAGGGTTCTAACAGTACTTGCCACGTATGCGTGTGGTCAAAATGAAACAGTATACGTACCTATGTGGTGTGGATGTGGACGCAGGTGTACCTGTAGATGACGGATATAGGAGCTTTCCTGAGCCACCCTGATGTCCAGGCCCCGTGTCCCACCCTGGCCTCGGGGATCCGCAGCCTCCTGGGGTGGGAAACACATCAGCCCACAGCTCCAGCTCCACAGAGCGGTCACAGCTGGGAATGCCTCCAGCAGGGTGGAGCCCTAACCCAACGTTGGGGAGCCGGGAGGACAGGAGTGGGAGAGCCAGGTGGGAGAGGAAGGAGGCGATCCGGCAGAGGGCGCAGCGCGAGCAGAGCCGGTCAGGCCCGGGAGCCGCACACGGTCCAGCCTGCACGTGGTCGGAGATGAGGCCGGCGCTGGCAGCAAAGGCCCAAGTACAGGGCTGAGAATGCATGTAAAGGAGGAGGGCCTTCAGCAGGGCCGCCTAGCGGGCAGATTTGCTGCCTTCTCTGGGCGCAGGGCCCTATCAGGCCCCCGCGGCAGCCTGGCGCTGGCCGGAGCGCCCTGACCAGGCCCTTTGTGTTGTGCTGGCCGCTCCCACCCTGGCAGGCGCACAGCCTGCCATATTATTCTGCTTCGTGCACGTGAAAAATGAAAGTTCTCCCTCTCCTCTTCACCAGGCATACATATTTCATACGGTCATTAGACGGTGGCACTAAAGGACTCACAAATCTTCCCCGCTTAGCATCGGCGGCCTGGGCGGGCAGCAAGAGGCCCCCGGGGAGAGGGGTCACCGTGGGAACCATGGCTGTGCTCAGTCCACTCGGGGAGGGAGTGGGGACTCAGCGGGGGTGGTAGAGGCCAGCATCTGCCTGGAGAGAGAAGACAGTTCTGTCTTGTTCCCAGGGGCTCGTCACCTAACTTCCCTGAGCCTCAGGGTGAAGAGGACTGGACAGGGGGACCTCGGGGGTCCTTCCCACCCTAAGAGTCCGAGTGCAATTCCATAGGGCACATAGACGTGGAGGGCTTGTCCCCAGGGTCCCGATGCGACCTTCAGGGGCAGGGAACCCCCCTTGTGGCTTGGCGCAGCCCACTCTGCTGACCCCTCTGCCCCTCCTAGCCTCTCCCCTCCCTTTCCCTCGCTCCTTTTCGCCCCTCCCTTTCCCTTAGAATCCGCTCTCCTCGCTTTTGCCCCCATCTCTCCACCACCCCCTTCTTACTAGAATTGGTTCCTTCGTTTTCCAAGCATTTTTGAAGCACCTGCCACGTGTCAGGCACTGTCCAGGCTGGGAGGTGAGCCTGGCAGATGCGGCCCTACCCTCTTTGCTTCCCCAAACCCTTTCCTTGGACAAATGAGGATGCCGAGGCCCCAGGAGGTTGCTGTCTGGTCACACGGTGACCTGGGCTGCTGACTCTGACCTGGAGCTAGGGTCTTTACATTACACTCACCCCTCACCAAGGGGCTTGATGGCATCTGGTCAGCTGCTCCCCAGACTGAGCTGCAGTTATTGTAGTCTAGGAATACCATGTGTGGTGGTGATCATTTCTTGGTGGAATGAAAGGGGACTTATGGGTGCCTCCCCGCCTTCTCTGGTCCCTGAAAGGGGAGGAGAGAGGTGGGCTCATTATGAGAAGTTTTGGTCTCCTCTGCCCTGGAATAAGCATTCCTTCTGAGAACAAGTTCTCTTCTTGGTTTAGAAGCAAGAACACGCTGAGGCGAAGGATGTGACTAGCCGGCACTGGGTTCAAATTCTAACTCTGCCGCTCTTTCAGCTGTGAAGCCTTGGGTGAGCTGTTCACTCTCTCTGCCTCAGTTTCCCCATCTGTAAATCGGAGGTGGTAGTAATAATAGCACCTACGTCATAGGGTCATTATGAAGATACAATACGTGATAAGTGTGAGGAGTCGATAAATGCAGGTGTCGGGAGGAGTGGCTCAGGGCACGGGGGACGGTCTGCCCTGGAATCGGTCCTGGGTTAGAGGGTGGGTTACATAGCTCGGCGTTTACCTTTCCATTTATTATACACGCGTCCCCCGACAACCTGTGATGCTCTTGGAGCCTGGCCAGGGCGGTGAGAAGACAGAGGTCCACACACAGTCTGCTGAACACAGTGGGGACTGAATGGAACAGTGTGTACAAGAGCCCGTCCTTAAAAGCAGGCTGCCACAGCCCCTGGAATTGGCTTCCTTCTGGATAACCAAGTTTTCTGGATAACAGATCTTAACCCTTTGGGTATAAACGCTTTTTTTCATTTAAATCATTTGGAATATATCATTTACTTCTCTGCCTTCCTGAATTCAAAATACTGGACTCAAATTGGCGTTTTCTTGAAATTCGGGTTTATCGTAGAGAACGCAGAATGGAATAGCTTTCACAGAATCCAAGAACTTTAAAAGGAACCTCAAAAAATACCTAGTACCGAGGTATTGAGCAGGGGGAAATAGGGAGAGGCTGATCAACGGGTACAAACTTTGTTATAAGATGAATAAGGTCTGAGGATCTAACGTATAACATGGTGACTATAGTTGATAACGCTGTACCGCACCATTGAAATTTGCTGAGAGGGTAGAACTTAAGTGTTCTCACCAGACAAGTAACAAAAGAGTAAATCTGTGAGGTGATGGGTGGTTAATTAACTCAATAGTGGGAATCCTTTCCATTGTCAAGTATACCTCAATATAATATATTATCATAATAATTTTATTGTATAATAAAGTTATAAAATAATTTGTCGATTATACCTCAAACCTAAAAAATAAACAAAAGTAGGTATTGAAACATATTTTTAGCAGCAGAACCTTTATCCAGTTGTGATCTTAGAGAAGCCCTGAGTGTAAAACACCCCAAGGTCAGCCCAAGGCCTTTCCCTCCAGGCTCTGGTGGCAGGTAGCAGTTTGCCCAGCTCTAGGGCATGGCCTGGGAGGGAGCAGAGGTCACAGTGCCTGGCACAGAGTACATGCTTACTGAGTAACTATTGAATGAATGCATGAATGGTGTCACTTAGTCTGCACTGTGGACTATAACCATGCCAGCGATAATGCAGAAGCCCAGAGGTTCCAGCCGCAAAAGCCAAGCCTCTACTGTAACTACCATTGTCCTGGACAAGGAAGGGGTTGGAGAGGGGCCCCACGTAGGTGGCCTAAAGGAAGGAACCCTGGGATGGCAGTAGGGATCGCAGGTTCTGCCCCACTCTGCTTGAACCTGCTCGTGACCTAGAGTGGTGACAGGGTCACACCAGACCTCACTGTGGTCTGGGCCTCAGTTTTGTCATCTGTGTGATGGGTAGAAATGTGTGCCTTCCTCATCATGTTGTGACAGTTGTGAGGGTAAAATGAGGTCTTAATAAACCTGGATGCCCTTTGACAGTGTAAAATATATGATCGAGTGCAGGCTGGCAGTGGTCACCATCGTTGCCATCATCATCAGGCATGAGGCAGGCCACTCTCGCTCCAGTCTCTTTTTACTGTAGGTGATAGAAAGCCAACTTGGACCAGCCTGGATAAAAGAGATCTTGTTGAACTCACAAACCAAACTGAGGTGGGAAGGGATGTCAGATTCAGGACTAGAACTACCAAGATCAGCCCCTGTCTTCATCGTCCCTACACATCTAGCAACTCCCACTTCACATCGTCCCAGCTTCACTGCCCCAGAGGAAAGCTTTTATCCCCAGCAACAATAAGAAGAATCCCAGGAAAGGATTCTAATAGGCCCCTGCTGAGGTCAGGGACCACTCCCAGCCTAGTCCCTGAGGTCACGGGACTAGGTCCCACTTGGACCACTTGTTCAAGCAGAGAGGGATGCCAAAAGATGGGTGGGGGTGGGCAGCAGACTGTTTCCAGCAGAAGAGGTTGCCAACCAGACGATAGTCTGCTTGGTACACGCAGTGGATTATTCCCCGGGTTAAAGAAGGGGGAACACTAGAAATCCACCCAAGAGGCCTCCCCTACCGGGTACCACATCTGACTTGGAGGCTTTGGGGACTGGAGGAGAGTCGCCAGAGGAGGCCACCAGGTGGTTGAACCCACCCCCACTTTTGTTTGAGATATTTTGTAAAGCTACAAGTTGTGACCCCAAGCCACAGGTCTAGGGTCTCTCCCCCAAGCCCTCTGAGCATCTACAGAGAATGTCTGACATGAGTCCAGGAAGGGTGATTTCGCAAAGTTGGAGATTTAGGTAGAAGACTGATCCTCCGGAACTGTGTGCTCCAGTATTAATTTAAATCGCCGTTTGTGACTGGTGAAAACCTTATTGAACAGCGTGGCTCTAGAAAATTCGGCCTGGGCCTGAGGAGCTGTGTGGGGGGAAGCATGGGTTTGCTGTGGCCATTTCCTGCTGAGATCGGGAGCCTCGGCTGGTTCTAGCAGTAATGACTTCTTTTTCTTACCTTTGCAGGCAACAGACGATGACGTGGGCACCTTCGGGGAAGTCAACTACTTCTTCAGTGATAACGCTGATCGGTGAGCCCCTGCCCCTGGCCTTCCGAGGTGGCCCTCTGCCACTCAGCAGGCCCAGGACGTTTCTTGGTGCCCAGGAAAAGTGCTGTGCCCCTGTGGCTAGGGAACTGGACTGTGAGTCAGAACTCACGGGCACTGCTGCTCGTTTGGCCTTGATTGTGGTACAGTATTGCTCAAGTCCCCTAAACTCTGGGGCGTAGTTTCTCTGACCCTCAAAAGATAGCTTTTAGTTTGGGGAATGAAGAAGCTTTTTTTTTTTTTTTTTTTTTTTTTTTACCTTGCCTAATGTCTTTATTTTACAGAGGGGACATTTAAGCCAAGGGAGGAAAATAACCATTTTTACAAACTTTTCCGTGTCCTTTTGTTCTGTTGTTGAAAAATGAAAATCAAAGGACAGTAGATTTTCCCTTTTGCTTTAGTTTCTAAAAATATCAGAGTGAAATTGTCCACACATAGTTCTTTTTTTTTTAGCTCTTCAATACTTTGTTTTAATTTAATTTTTATTTTATATTGGAGTATAGTTGACTTACAATGTTGTGTTAGTTTCAGATATATAGCAAAGTGATTTAGTTATACAAATATATGTATCATTCTTTGTCAGATTCTTTTCCCATATAGGTTATTACAGAATATTGAGTAGAGTTCCCTGTGCTATGCAGTAGGTCCTTGTTGATTATCTATTTTATATATACTGGTATATATCTGTTAATCCCAAACTCCTAATTTATCCCTCCCCCATCACCTTTCCCCTTTGGTAACCATGAGTATGTTTTTGAAGTCTGTGAGTCTATTTCTATTTTGTAAATAAGTTCATTTGTATCATTTTTCAGATTCCACATATAAGTGATATCATATGATATTTGTCTTTCTGTCTGACTTACTTCACTTAGTATGATAATCTCTAGGTCCATCCATGTTGCCACAAATGGCATTACTGCGTTCTTGTTTATGGCTGAGGAGTATTCCACTGTATATATGTACCATATCGTCTTTATCCATTCTTCTGTCGATGGCTATTTAGGTTGCTTCCATGTCTTGGCCATTGCAAATAATTCTGCCATGAACACAGGGGTGCATGTATCTTTTTGAATTACGGTTTTCTTCGGATAGATGGCCAGGAGTAGGATTGCTGGATCATATGGTAGCTCTATTTTTAGTTCTTTAAGGATCCCCCATTCTGTTCTCCATAGTGGCTGCATCAATTTACATTCCCACCAGCACTGTAGTAGGGTTCCCTTTTCTCCACACCCTCCCCAGCATTTATTGTTTGTAGGCTTTTTGATGGCCATTCTAACTGGTGTGAGGTGATACCTGATTGTAGTTTTGTTTCTTCGTTTTTTAAATTTATTTATTTATTTTATTTTTGGCTGCATTGGGTCTTCGTTGCTGCATGCGGGCTTTTTCTAGTTGCGGCGAGTGGGGGTTACTCTTCGCTGCAGTATGTGGGCTTCTCATTGCGGTGGCCTCTCTTGTTGGGGAGCATGGGCTCTAGGCACGTAGGCTTCAGTAGTTGTGACATATGGGCCCAGTAGTTGTGGCTTGCAGGCTCAGTAGTTGTGGCTCACGGGCCTAGCTGCTCCACAGCATGTGGGATCTTCCCAGACCAGGGCTCGAACCTGTGTCCCCTGCATTGGCAGGCAAATTCTTAACCTCTGCACCACCAGGGAAGCCCCCTGATTGTAGTTTTGATTTGCATTTCTCTAATAATTAGAGACGCTGAGCACCTTTTCAAGTGATTTTTGGCCATCTGTATTTCTTCTTTGGAGAAATGTCTGTCTGATATTCTGCCCATTTTTGATTGGGTTGTTTGGGGAGGTTTTTTTTGTTTTGTTTTTTTAATATAGAGCTGCATGAGCTGTCTGTATATTTGGAAGGTTAATCCCTTCCCAGTGGCTTCATTTACAAATATTTTCTCCCATTCTGTGGGTTGCGTTTTTATTTTGTTTATGGTTTCCTTTGCTGTGCAAAAGTTCTTTAATTAGGTTGCATTTGCTTGTTTTTGTTTTTATTTTGATTGCTCTAGGAGGTGGATCAAAAAGGGTATTGCTGTAATTTATGTCAAAGAGTGTTCTCCCTATGTTTTCCTCTAAGAGTTTTATAGTGTCTGACCTTACATTTAGGTCTTTGACCCATGTTGAATTTATCTTTGTGTATGGTGTTAGGAAGTGTTCTAATTTCATTCTTTTACATGTAGCTGTCCAGTTTTCCCAGCACCATTTGTTGAAGAGACTGTCTTTTCTCCATTGTATATTCTTGCATCCTTTGTCATAGATTAATTGACCTTAGGTGCGTGGGTTTATTTCTGGGTTTTATATCCTGTTCCATTGATCTATATTTCTGTTTTTGTGCCAGAACCATACTATTTTGATGACTGTAACTTTGTAGTATAGTCTGAAGTCAGGGAGCCTGATTCCTCCAGCTTCGGTTTTCTTTCTCAGGATTGCCTTGGCTATTCGGGGTCTTTTGTGTTTCCATACAAATTTTTAAATTTTTGTTGTTGTTCTGTGACAAATGTCTTTGGTAGTTTGATAGGGATTGCATTGAATCTATAGATTGCCATGGGTAGTATAGGCATTTTGATAATATTGATTCTTCTAATCCAAGAACATGGTGGATCTTTCCATCAGTTTCTGTCATCTTCGATTTCTTTCATCAGTGTCTGTATAGTTTTCAGAGTACAGGTCTTTTTTCTCCTTAGGGAGGTTTATTCCTAGGTATTTTCTTCTTTTTGATGCAATGGTAAGTGGTATTTTTTCTTTAATTTCTCTATCTGAACTTCTGTTGTATAGGAACTTTAGTGTATAGGAATACAACAGATTTCTGTGCATTAATTTTGTATCCTGCAACTTTACCAAATTCACTGATGAGCTCTAGTAGTTTTCTGGTAGCATCTTTAGGATTTTCTATGTAGAGTATCATGTCATCTGCAAACAGTGACAGTTTTACTTCTCCTTTTCCAATTTGGATTCCATTTATTTCTTTTTCTTCTCTGATTACCATGGCTAAGACTTCCAAAACTATGTTGAGTAAAAGTGGTGGGAGTGGGCGTCCTTGTCTTGTTCCTGATCTTATAGGAAACGCTTTCAGCTTTTCACTGAGAGAATGTTGTTAGCTGTGGGTTTGTCATATATGGTCTTCATTATGTTGAGGTAAGTTCCCTCTATGCCCACTTTCTGGAGAGGTTTTTTTTTTTGCGGTACACGGGCCTCTCACTGCTGTGGCCTCTTCCGTTGTGGAGTACAGGCTCCGGGCACACAGGCTCAGCGGCCATGGCTCACGGGCCCAGCCACTCCACGGCACGTGGGATCTTCTCGGACCAGGGCACACACCCGTGTCCCCTGCATCGACAGGCGGACTCTCAACCACTGTGCCACCAGGGAAGCCCTCTGGAGAGGTTTTTTTTCGTGTTTATTTTATTATTTATTTATTTATTTTGGCTGCACTGGGTCTTAGTTGTGGCACATGGGATCTTCATTGCAGCATGTGGGATCTTTGTTGCAGCATGTGAGATCTTTTTAGTTGCAGCAGTGGGACCTTCTTAGTTGTGGAATGCAGACTTCATAGTTGCAGCATGCAGACTCTTAGCTGCAGCATGCAGACTCTTAATTGAGGCATGAGTGTGGGATCTAGTTCCCTGACCAGGGATTGAACCCCAGTCCCCTACATTGGGAGCACAGTGTCTTACCCACTGGACCACCAGGGAAGTCCCTGGAGAGTTTTTATCCTAAATGGGTGTTGACTTTTATCAAAAGCTTTTTCTGCATCTATTGAGATGATCATATGGTTTTTATTCTTCAATTTCTTAATGTGGTGTATCACACTGATTGATTTGTGGATATTGAAAAATCCTTGCATCCCTGGGATAACTCCCACTTGATCATGGTATATGATCCTTTTAATGTATTGTTGGATTCGGTTCACTAGTATTCTGTTGAGGATTTCTGTGTCTATGTTCATCAGTGATGTTGGCCTATAATTTTCTGTGGTATCTTTGTCTGGTTTTGGTATCAGGCTGATGGTAGGCTTATACAATGAGCTTGGGAGTGCTCCTTCCTCTGCAGTTTTTGGAAGAGTTTCAGAAGCATAGGTGTTAACTCTTCTCTAAATGTTTGATAGAATTCTCCTGTGAAGCCTGATCCTGGACTTTTCTTTGTTGGATTTTTTTTTAAATTTATTTATTTTCTTAATGTTTTTGGCTGTGTTAGGCCTTAATTGTGGCACGTGGGATCTTTCATTGAGGCACGGGGTTTTCATTGCAGTACGCAGGCTTCTCTCTAGTTGTGGTGCATGGGCTTCTCTCTAGTTGTGGCATGCAGGCTTCTCTCTAGTTGTGATGTGCAGGTTTTCTCTCTCTAGTTGTGGCATGTGGGCTCCAGGGCATGTGGGCTCTGTAGCTGTGGCGTGCAGGCTCCAGAGCGCATGGGCTCTGTAGTTTGCAGCACGCAGGCTCTCTCACTGAGTTGCACAAGCTCAGTGTTTGTGGCATGCGGGCTTAGTTGCCCCGTGGTATGTGGGACCTTAGTTCCCCGACCAGGGATCAAACCTGTGTCCCCTGCATTGGAAGGCGGATTCGTTACCACTGGACCACCAGGGAAGTCCCTTGTTGGATGTTTTAAATCACAGTTTCAATTCCAATACTTGTGATTGGTTTGTTCATATTTTCTGTTTCTTCCTAGTTCAGTCTTGAGAGATTATACCTTTCTAAGAATTTGTCCATTTCTTCTAGCTTGTCCATCTTATTGCCATAGAGTTGCCTGTAGTAGTCTCTTATGATCCTTTGTATTTCTGTGGTGTCCCTTGTAACTGCCCTTCTTCATTTCAAATTTTATTTTTTTCAGCCCTCTCTTTTTTTTTTTTTTGATGAGTCTGGCTAAAGGTTTATCAATTTTGTTATCTTTTCAAAGAACCAGCTTTTAGTTTCATCGATCTTTTCTATTGTTTTCTTCATGGCTATTTCATTTATTTCTGCTCTGATCTTTATGATTTCTATTAACTTTGGGTTT